TATTGAATTAAAAAATTACACAAAAAATAAGGAATTTTAAATAGTTAATTTGATATTAATATCGATATATTTTTGTCAAATTTTTATGATATCTTCAAACATATATTTTATTCAAAAATAAAAACACCATCACTTTCTCAAAATCACATAAACATATTATAACATCAGCTGAGATAAAGAATAAAATGAAATATTAAAATCATGATGTATCTCGCTGCATTACGCGAATACGTTTCTACTAATATTTAATAGTAAAAGATTATATAAAAAAAATATTCTCCTTGAGCTTATTTTAAACATATTTACGAGACGATTATAATGGTGTAGTTTGTAAAAAGATAAACATATTTTTTCATATATTTTAATTAATATACAATTATATTTTTTTAATATAATAAAGATATAAAAAAAATTAAGAGATATAAAAAAAATTAAATAGTTAAGTATAAGGATGCAAAAGTGTAAAAAAATTTACATAAAAATGACAATGGTCTCATCAAGTTTAAAATAGTATAATATTAAATATTTTTTTATTTTAAAAATAATTAAATATCATGAGTACAAATTATTTTTAAAACTTACATGTTTTACCCTTCTATTTTATTTAATCAATAAGTTTAAAGGTATAAAGTATAATTATTAAAAATAAGTCGTAAGTATTTTTAGTATTTAATAATATAAGATTAAATAAAATCAATCGTAGGCTCATTTTAAACATATTTACAAGACGATTATAATTGTGCAATTTATCAATAGAAAAAACGTACTTTTATGATATATTTAGTTAATATACGATTAAATATATTAATATAATAAATATGCAAAATAATAAAAATTAAGAAATATAAAGCAAATTAAATAATTAAATATAATGATGTAAAATGTAGAAAAGTTCACTTAGAAAATGGATTTCTGCATAAAGTTTTTTTTTTTTAAATTTTTTTAACCGAATTCAAACCTTAGATAAAAAAAGCATTATAGTTAATATTTCTGCATAAACTTTGAATATTTAAAAAAACCACTAAAGAATAAAACCTTTTAATAGATTCAGTATTTGAATCAATTTCATCCTCAAAAATGATTTACCCGAATGGACTCCATACACATTTTTACAATGGTTCAACAATAAAGCCCATTTTTATATAAAAATGTTCATTAAACATAGAAATTAAATTTCACTTATGAAATTTGATTTTAATTTTGGATGATTGTCTATATCTATTACATTATTTTCCTCATTATTAATAATATCTTAATTATTTAACAAATATAGTAACTTCTGAGTTAAAATCTCTCTCTGAAATACTTAATACACATTCATTTCATGATATTCTTGAAAAACAGTTACATTCCTTATTTGAAAAAGTTTCATGTTCAAAACTGTTATTCGACAACTATTATTATAATTAAAGAAAATATTTAGTCTTATTTTTGGTACACAAGACTCTTGCTTTATTTTGAGTGAATCTTTGATAAAATCATGAAAAGGTTTTTCTAAAATCATATATTAATTTGAACCTTGAAATTCTATATGAAAAAAAAAACATTTATTTTCACACTTCAAAAAGTGATACCATTTTTATTGTCCTATGATGATTGTATTATCTGCATTGGTAAAATACTTATATGACCGATTATTAAATATCCAAAACTTTATCATAAATAAAATTACAGATAATTTTTAGGAAAAGACCAACTTTGATGTATGTACATATCTAGAAAAGAATTTCATGCCTCACTTATCGAGTAAGATTTTATTGGTTCTTGCTATGTCTTAGACCATGTAAGATTCTTGTTCTTTATCATGCATGCTTACTCATGAGGTAAGTGACAACCTATAAAAATTTGATAAACAACCCCTATGTTGTTTATTATCGTTATAGTTTATGTTTCAATTTGCGTTTCAAAAACTGATGGTATATATTAATGAAAACAATTTTCCTTAATAACAAACTTTATTTACCTTGGATTAATTTATTTTGTAACAAAATAAATTCATTTGTTACAAAATAAATTCATTCAACAGTTCTCAAATTTTATTAAATATATAAGCAAATAAATTTGCTTTTAGTATATATATATATATATATATGCATATTAAAATATAATAAATAAGTACGAGATCCATTTATAAATTTTAAATTAAGAGATTGAATTTGATACCTAGATTTATGGAATATTGTGTGAGAAAAAAAAAAATGTGATGTAGCATGACAAATTCATGGCTTCCTGAAAGGAAAAAAGTAGAGTTCGTTACATGTGTGGTCCCTGTGGTATGCATCTTGTTACTACTAAAGTCTTTAAACTTCATTAATTACAAATATCGTCCCTATGGTATGCAATTTGTTATGACTAGTTCTTTTGGAACGCAATTTGTTATGGACTATCTCTTCTTTTGGTGCCATCCCGCTTAGCCCGTTAACCAAGCTACATGCCCCTCAGGTGAGGGCCAATTTTGTCCTTTTACACTATTCTTCCTTCCCATCTCATTCTTCCCCAACCTAAATAACAAACCTCTTTAAATCAAGAGCACAAGAGCTTCAAATTCATCAACAAAAATTCCCATCATATAAGTGGCACGTGGGTCAGTTACCGAAGCCAATGCTTGTGGCAACATTAGAAGAAAGGACCTTAGGCATAACAAAATGCATACCACAAGGACGATATATACAATTAATATGATTTAAGGACCTTTGCAATAACAACATGCATACCACATGGACCAAACATGCAACTTACTCAAAAAAAAAAAATATATTATGGTTCTTATGAACGATAAAACCACCACTTTTTTGCCATTCTTGTGGCTTTTTAAAATTAAAAAGAGATAAAGCCCGGCAACTTTCTTGTTCTTTGGCGTGAAAGACCACTCTATGAGCCCCATTGTATGTATGACTTGTATACCACCTCATCATCATCTCACCTCTTCACATTTTTCATCCTCCCTTCTCTCTCTATCTCTATCTCTATCTCTATCTCCCTATATGTATATATCAACAACATATGTAGAGTCATTCATGCTATACATACACACATTTCATATATGCGACCATTTAGATTTACTTTCAGAAGTTCAATCAGAAATGGTGGTGAGGCCCTAACAATAAGGGTATGAAAGTGATACAGTTTTTGTTGTTTCCACTGAATCATTTCTACTTGATTGCATTGTTTTTTGTATTGGATGTTAGATTAATTTAAAGAAGAACGCATGAGTGATGATTTGAAGTTGTTTGAGGATTCTTTAAAAATCAATAATGACAGTCTCTTATGTCTTTCTCTATCTGTTATTATTCGATTGATTGCATGTTTCTTTTGATTGTTTAAACCTTCTTTTTTTAAGATTTTAATTTTCTGAACTTCTCAAGTTCACTAAAAAGTCGGTATTTTTCATCTGTTTTGGTAATTAACTTTCTTGATCAACAAGAGGCCAACTAAGTCTAAAGATTTTAATTTTAAAGTGTTCTTATATATGTGTGTCGTTAGAAAGATTGTAATTTTTTTTGTTACACATAAATCTAGGAAAATAACGTTATTATGTCTCGATAGGCTTTTGATGATATTTATTATTTATCTTCAAACTTGTTTAATTCTTTATGCTTACAAAAATGTTAGTAGTTACATAAAAAAATGATAAGTTTTATGGTAACATGTCACACACATATAAGACGAAATCAAATAATACCACAAGAAAGTTATAAATATATGAGAACTGATTTTAGAATATTTTTTTTCATGATTTTTTCTATTAAATACCAAGATTTAAAATATTGTTTCACCATTTGAATATTTTTTAAGTGAGTTTTTTGTTTCACTAAGTGAATAAAAGAAAGTTTAATATGTAATTTTTTCACGAGGTGAATACAAAAAATAAATGTTAAACAATATCTTAAATCATACTTTTGATGGAAAAAAATCATGTAAAAATCTTTTTATATCAATTCTTTTGTGATTCTCATTTAATTATTACACACACATTCTCTCTCTCTCTCTCTCTCTCTATATATATATATATATACATATATATATATATATATACACACATCAAATAAGGTTATAAACCAGTGACGACAAATATAAAAATATTTTTTTTATCAAAGATTATGATTTTAAAGTATTGTTTTATATATATTTGTGTTCACACAATGAAAATTACATATGAAACATTTTTTTTTCTGTTTCATATTGTAAAACAAAAAATATGTGTAAATAATGAAATACATATATGTGGGGCTAGCACATCGTAAAACAAACATACTAAAAAAATATCTTAAATTATAGCCTTCAATAAAAAAATCATATAATTTTCTATATCGATTCTCAAGGATTTATAACATTTTTATACTTAATTTGCCCCCATATATATATATTCTTCTAAAAGAGTCATGAATTACACCTAAAAAGGTGAAACATTTATGGCATGTTCATTAACGCATTCATTTGAAAATACATAAATGTGAGATCCAAACATATAACATTCTGGTTATCCTATCAGAATTCCAACAGCTTGTATAGTTAAGCCTGCTCTTTCTATGAAGATTTGGGTTCTCATTCTCAAGTAGAGAACATATATTGTTTTTTCTTGCACTTCCATCACTGAGTCCTGAACTAGTTTTAAATTTCAGGGGATACACTTCCATTATTGTTGAAATCATCGTCGTATTTTGACATATCATCATCAGGTTACGCTCCATTAATTTCCAATCTGAAAGGCAACAATGTGGGAACCAAATTCTGATGAAAAATGGGGTCCTAGTTATCATGATATCGACCAATTCTTTAGTTATGGTTATTATGGTGATTATGGTTATCATCACAATAGAAACATCTGTGATGATCAACAACCATACAACTCTAGTTATTATCAAGACAACCAGTATGGCAATGTTGACAGTCAGATGTGGGTTAACTCTCTTCAAAACGGACTATCGGAACTCTCAATTGCAGATGGAAATGAATCATCGAATGCGGTACATGAGCACATGCAGGTACAGGAGGACCTGCAACTGCAAGTACAACCGTATGCGATACAGGAGCATCGGCAGGTATCATATCCGGTGGAGGAGAACCTGCAAGCAGTATCATCAAATGCAGTACAGGAACACCTGCAGCCATCGTATCCAGTGGGCCGATTCCAAGCATACACTGGTAATTATCAAGATTGGTATTACGGTCCACCATCATCGAGCTACTATTATGGTGAGCTTCTTTTTGATCTCTAGCTCAGCATAAGTCTGAAAAAGATACAGAAGAATTGAAACATGCCTTGTTTTGCATTCTTAAACCTCTTCAATTCACTTGCAACAGAATACAGGTGCAACATTTTAGGGTTTTTATTATTAGTGAAAGACATTTGTTAGATTACAAGTAAAAGTCGATATATATGTGTGTGTGTGTGTGTGTGTGTGTATATATATATATAGTTGATAGCTAAATCTGCATTCTGGGTAGCATTTTTTGCTTCATAACGGTTACGTTTTGGCTATTAATTATAGCAGGTGATGAAACAAAGCAACTGGAAGCATCAGCTCCATCCTCCAGCCCCGAAAACCAACCTAGCGATTGGGAAGAGAACTCTTACACTTTCGAGATCAAAGATGAACCTCAGATTGACGGGGAAGTTGGTAAGAGGCTAACTGAAATTACCCCCGTAGCTGTAAGTGCAAAATTTATGTCGTTCAGTCGAATTTTTTTCTAGCAAATGAAAGAGTTTTCTTAATACTAAAATATAATAAAAAAGGATACCTAAACCGGGAGTTTATTAGTAGAACAGACTCAATTCCCAACTTTTTGTTACCGTTACAGCAAAATAGATAGAAATTTTGTTATACTGTTACATTTATTAGTCATTTATGTTATACTTTCACGGTCATGCATATATCATTTACACCAATTTTGACAAACTTTTAATCCAGTCATCTAACATGAATCATCAATACATTCACTAGATTCAGCTATTTCATATATGTTGCAGCATACTCCAAAAATTAATGGAGATATACCTTCCATGGATGAAGCTTCTTCTGATCATCAGAGACTACTGGATAGGTATCACATCGATCAGTTCATCTTGATCTTTTAATGACCAATAAATTTTTTACTCTTCCAAAATAAATAATTTTATGATCCAATGTTTGTATGAATGACTATGTACTTGGATGACAACTGCTCGATGGTTACTTGTGACAGACAAGTCATTCGGTTTAACCCAACTCACACAAAACCCTTGCTGTAAATGTTTCAGAAATAACTAGAATGGAAAACTTTGTTAGGAATGAAGAACTAAAACCAATGGAAATTTAATCATCTGTTTTAGTATCAGGGCTCTACCACCCTTCCTTTTCTGAAGTTCTTCTATTAAAAAAATTAAAAATATTGGATTATGTAACTTAATCGACAGCGAACATTTTTGTTGTAATTGTTATAATCGACGGTTGCTAGCTAGTTCATCGTCACGTTCATGTTGTTACAAATCGGGCTTATGCCTTCGAAGGAGAAAAAATCCATAAAATCTTAATTCGTAGACTTTACAAATTTATGCTGAAACAAGAAAATTGTTTGGACTATATATCCTCCCACAATTAGTAGATATTGGAGTAAATAGCCTTTTTTATACCCTAATGTGTAGTACAGTTGGTTTATATTTGCAAATATATCATTTTTAACCGTTTGACTTTAATTGATCGTGTTAACCGATAATTATACTTTAAAATTCAATAAGAACATTGTTCGTCAAGAGAATATGCAAACTAAGAGTTAGACAAAAGTGTACTAAAACAATTACTGTACTTGTTAACCTTTGTCCATTTAATTCCTTCGCATTATTGGAAGTTGCAACTACAATGTTCCTTTTCTTGTATAATAGTTGGATAGCAGTAAAGCAAATAGAATGGTTAGAAATGTCATCACTTTACATGTTGAGAACCATGGCATTAAATTCTTAGATTTGGTTTCCAGATATCTGAAATTTAATTTGTAACAAGTTAGAGAGAAAACCAATATAATACTGGATGGGATTTAACCTCCACACACACAAACATATAATGGTTGTTGGCTTTTCCATGTGAAGTTTCATTCTTACTGCTGTTGGAATTGTGGTGTTCTCAGGTTGGAATTATATGGCCTGGTTGAGTCTAAAGTTGAAGGTGATGGTAACTGTCAGGTCAGTGTCGTCCTGATCCATTTCATATGATCTTGGATTAATTACTAGTACTACTGCTTCAACAAATCATAAAATCTTAAAGTAATATGTATTAGAAAAAGACCAATGCGGTTTATTTGTTGACTGGATCAGATTGTATCTGGTTTGGTAGCTAAGCTAGTTCAACAGAACTTTCTAATAACACTTTTCCTGGCTAGTTAGCTGCTTTTGGTGCTCCACTTGAAGGTTAATTGTTACCTCCTTAGTTTGCAATTAATGAGATCACAAATGAAATGGTGACAAGACCAATATGTTTTCTTCTGCTTGGATTCTTTATCATGAAAGTACACCAGATCACTAGATGCTTTGAACAAATAAATCAAATTCTTGATGACATTCTTAGGGTCCGCAGTTTTTTGAACCTTATATATTGATTAGGTATCATGCCCAAACACTTTGTATATCTAGTCCTTCCGGGTTTATTTATTTCTGATATAATCATCTGTTATCTCTTAGACATTCATAGATTTAGGACTCAGATTCATGTTTTTCTATGGGTGTTATATAAGGTGTGATCTAAATTTTCAATCTGTTGAAATTGTTTTGCTTATCTGTTGAATTACAACTTTTATGAATCCAAACCGGAGAATAATGCATCTCATGTGATAGCACACTTTTACTTCAGTTCCGTGCTTTATCGGATCAGTTATACCGCACACCAGAGTATCACGAATCTGTGAGACGGCAGGTTGTTAAGCAGGTAAACATCACAGAATGATAATGCATACCTCTACATTTGTTCTTGAATTTTTGTTTTATTTTATGGTTTTGTTCATTATTGGTTATGGTTACTGATATGTTATATCGATGTACATGATTCAGCTTAAATCGCATCCAGAAATGTATGAAGGATATGTCCCGATGGCATATACTGACTACTTGAGTCAGATGTCTATGTAAGTTGCACCTTTTTCCTTCCGCCACATTTTCCCTTTCCAACTTGTTAATTTCAATATTTGAGCAGGAACGGAGAGTGGGGAGATCATGTCACCTTGCAGGCAGCTGCAGATTCGGTATGTTTCTTTTTTTGCATCTTAATTAGAATAGACACAGTAAAATTTTGATGTATCGGTTAAGAGCTAACATGAGTTTGCTAATTTCTTTGTCTATTTGAGCTTGGGCTAGCTTACTTATTCAACTCCTTTATGTTCTTATGCAGTATGGTGTCAAAATCCTCGTGCTAACCTCTTTCAAAGATACCATTTTCATTGAGATTCTTCCCAAGGTCCTAAAGTCGAAAAGAGGTAACTTGTAGATCATTATTAAGTTCAATAGATTTCTTACGAGTATGTATAAATTTCGTGAAAAAAGCGTCTGCACAGAGTATATATAACCCGCCCTTCGTTTCTTATAAACTTATTTTGTTCCTTAATATACGTAACAGCTTATGACTTGTTATATATCGTTATCCATCCATGTATCTTTCTAAGGGAATTTAGTTTATAGTCTTTACCATGGAAAGGAGTGTGCTCAACTCATGATGGTAACTGAACAGTTGATCATATCTCTATTTATTATACTGGTTAAGGGTTTTCCCATGCTTCATTTAACGAATATGAATTACACTGCGCTTCCATTCAATTAATCGTATCTGGTTTGTCCCTCTTTTACTTATCATATCGTATCTAGCTATATACGCATATTTTATCCCATCCTTTGCATGCTAGAAATTCCTATACATGCTATATCATGTTTCTTAAATTCCTTTTTCGTAGTAAAATCAGACGTAACTACAAAAGTGGCTTTTTCTTTCTGTTTTATACAGTTGTTTTCTTGAGTTACTGGGCTGAAGTACACTACAACCCGATCTATCCTGCTGATCAAGAAGGTAAGTATACTAATAGTTACTATCTGTCATGTTAATTATATTCCTATTCCAGCATTATGTTTGAAAAAGGATTTCTTCAGATATTTGTCTAAGAAGTTGGCATTTATAATCGAACAAATTTGAGGTTTTCGTGTGCGTTAGAATTCTGTTTAGCATTGACAAGATAATGTTATGGCAACATATATTGGAGGGAAAATACCATGTAAAAGAAAGATGGCTTGAAAACCTGGTGTACGTAATCTAAAGAAGTCACCATCAATAATCTGCCTGCAAATGGTGCTTATCAAATATACTTGGTTTTGAATTTGGATTTCAACAGAGTTGCCACCATCCAGACATGAGGAGGATGAGAAGGAGGAGGTGGATAAGAAGGAAGAGAAAAAGAAGAGCAAGAAGAAGTGGTGGAACTTAATCAAGAGCAGACACCAGTCTTATATATCCCGATTGAAAAGATGATCAGTGTGTGACTGCAATGCATCCTTCAATTTGTAGCAAATAATTGAAACCATGCATATGTTTTCTTACTTCTATCTAGCTAAGATTGAATGCTTATGATATCTTGATCGTCTTAATTTCAAGAATAAATCGAAACAGACCTCTAGATTTCATTATGAATAAAAATACTTGTCTTATTATGGTGTGTTCAATCTCTTAAGATTTTACATATTGGATGTGAGTAACCCTTGCTAGGAATTTGATGGCAAAGGCCAAAGAAGTCAGAATTAATTTTAAGACTGACTTGGGATGATTGGAGTATCTTAGTGGGGATAACTTTCACTTCACTTCCTTGAAAGTGGCTCCCAAGTATATATGCATATATGTTTTGGAAAAGGCTTTTCAAAGACCTGACGGATGTTCATACTTTAAGCGATTGAGTTTTTTGACATTTTCTTGAACGAATAATTATTTCAGTTTTTGAAACAGAACAAATAAATCTTTCAACTTACCGAAATCGAAAAAACACGGACTTCCATATTTTGAGTGGTCCAGTTCCTCGACATTTGTTAAAAAACACGGACTTCCACTATTTCACCTTTTTTCCAAAAAAAAGTTCCTCGACGTTTTTTGAACAAATAAGTAGTTCTTACACTTGTAAAACGAAAAAGACATACAATTTATTTCTCGATATATCATCAGATCAATAGCAAAACACAACAAACCTATAAAACGAAAGCAATAGTTTATTTTTTCAGATTCAAATAATGATTGAAGAAGAAACGTCAGTATTTGCAGGTTATAAGGTAGGACCCTAAATCGTTTATGAAGTTTGTTATAGGATTTAAGGTGTCTAGGATTGCTTATTTGAAACAACTTGTGCCTTTCTACAAAAACTCCTTATTACCGGTATAAGCTGTTTATCCAAACATTTAAAAGTGCTTATTACTGGTGTCATACTGGAATAAATCAATAAGTTGTTTTTATAAGCAATCCCAAACACCCGCTAAATAAAGTTTTAAAAGTTGGATCTTCAAAAAGAATGTGACACAAAAATTATTTCATTTGGGTACACAATCTACCCACTAGAAAACTGGTGCCGAATCCGAAGAGGTGATCGAATTGCTTCATTATGTAAGAATATTTGTTGGTATACAAAGTTAAATATGTTTTCTTTCTTTATGGTAATTAACCCCTAAAACTATGAAGACTCCCAACAAGGGTAGAGTACAAGGTGTCATCAGGCAAAATACCTGCATTTTTCATCTCATCATACAGCCTGAAAGCTTCTTCTGATCTTCCCTCCTTCGATAACCCAGCAATCATAGCTGTATAACTTATCACATTTCTAACAAAACCTCTTTGTGGCATTTCATCAAACAGCTTCATTGCATCATCAACTCTCCCAGCCATACATTCCCCATGTACTAAACAAGTGAAAGTGTAAACATCAGGCATCACCTCTTTGTCTTCCATTTCACTTCTTACCTTATGAGCTTCCTTCATCAACCCTTTCTTGCAATACCCATCAATAAAAGCATTATATGTCACAACATTTGGTCTCTCCCCCTTACTCTCCATCTCCATAAGCGTTCGTCTAGCTTCACTGAAATCCCCTTGCTTACAGAATATATCGATCAAAGTGGTGTAAGTTTGTGTATTTAGAGCGATGCCATTATCCGCCATTTGAAACAACAATGTCTTTGCTTCCTCGAGCCGGTCTGCTTTACACAAACCAGTAGCGATGATATTGTAGGAAATGAATGAAGGTTTGAAGCCTTTCTTCTCCATTAAACTCTGCAACTTAATTGCATCATCAACATTTTCTTTTTTACAATACCCATCCATCAATGTGTTGATTATGACATCATTCACATCTAGACCTTTACTCTGCATTTCAATCAACAAAACTTCAGCAGCTTTCATCTCCCCTGCTTTGCATACACCATTGATCAACACTCCGTAAGTGTGGATATTTGGGAGAAGGCCTTTCTCAGTCAATTCATCAAACAACTCGAAGGCCCTCTTCATTTTCCCAAACTTACAGTTGCAACTAATCATTGAAGTATACACATAAACATCAGGAGTTATACCCTTTAAAAGCATTTCATCAAACACCTTCTCTGCGTCCTCAATTTTCCCCATCATCAAACTTAACTCGATTAAAAGCGTATAAGTTGCTACGGAGTAAGAAACTCCTTCCCTCTTCATTGAATCCAGAATCATCTCTACTTCCCTATATTCTGATTTCTTTAGATGGGCATCGATCAAAGCATTATATGTATTCGCATTTGGTCTAACCCCTTTTGTAATCATTTCGTCCATCAATTCTTTTGCCTCAGAATTCTGCCCAAGCTTACACATCGCCGAGACTGCAATTGTCAATGAATACACCGTTATCATGACTCCCGAATCCACCATTTTACGGAAGAACTCCGACAACAATTCAAACTTCTCACATCTCTTTGCGGCAAGAAGAAAAACCATACATGATCTATCATCAATCTTACTGAACTCCTTACTTTTCATGTAATCAAAAACCTCCAAGCTCTCTTCAAACCTCTGGTTGTCAGCGTAAACACGGAACAAAGTATCCAATAACTTCGCTACAACAACCTTACTGAATCCACTAACACAACTCTCGTTAACGAAACACGTAATTTTTTGTATAGGCTGCTGGATACCATTGTTAATGGCTAATTGATTCAAGATGTCCTTAGCAAGAACAAAATCCTTGGACTTGTAAAGGCGACAAGAAAGTGTAATGTATGGTTCGATAAGATTCAATTTTTTGGGTTGGAGGGAATTGAAGAAATTGAAGCAAGATTGAGGTGGAATGTGCGTGTTTGAGAGGACGAGGTGTATGATATTTGGGTTTAAAGACGTGAGGGGAAACTGGAAAGATTGTGAAGTTATTATAGATTTGGAAATGAGATTGGCGGTTCGTTGGTCGGAGTTTAATGGAGTTGGAACTTTGGGGATGGATTTCTTGAATGCTGCTAATAGGGTTTTGGTAGGCATGTTTAGGGTTGAAGAAGATACCCAGTTACTTGGGAAATTTGGCCATGATTGGGTTCGATCTCATACCTGACCTGATAATGGCCGCTGATATCATATGTTCTTTGAAGAAGAAGGGAACTCTCTCTGGGCTTTTATTCCCTACGAGTGGGCCGATGAAAATTATGGACTTGTGGCCCAATTTCAACTCTTTTAATTACAAAATAAATTAAATAAATTCATTTTTTTATTCAATTTCTGTATAAATAAGTATGTACTTGAATGACGATTAAATATGTGTTCGATGGTACTATTTGTGATATCATTTGGTTTTAATCCGATTCAAACAAAAACGCTAACTAAAACAGAAAACTTTATCATGTATTAAGCGATATAATCCGTTTTAGTATATGGGATCTAGTCTACCACCCTTTCCGTTCTAATATCAATTTGGAACTGCTACATTTGCGTGAAATCACATTAGACTATTTTTCAAAAGAGCCCTTGAGTAGATAATGAGATTTCAACATGTATTGTAGAGAAACTGGCAAGTCTAGTTGACTTGAGACTCTAACACGACCCCTTCCATGAAAGATAGACGGGCAAAGACATTGCATAGTGTCAAATCCCATGCAAACATGTCATGGATGATAGATTTTGACTCTGATACCATGTAAGAATATATGTAACCCCACTACACTACTTTCTAGAATATTAGTGTGTGCTGTAGATTATAATTTGTAAAATAAAAGAAAAAGAAAGTGATATAGTACATAAAGAAAGATGCAATCTCAAAAGGATTCCTTAAAGAGAATTAGAAACAGTAGTAAAAGATGTTGGTTTTAGTGTAAGCATATATAAAACATGGATCATATGAAGTTAAATATCTCATTAATTTCCTGTTCATGTCCTTGTCTTATGTTTGGGTGCTCAGTTTTCTGAGCTGAAATGACTCCTCATAAATCTTATATAATTCTTTTTTTGCAATTGGACCCCAAAATGTTTGTATTGTTCTAATTTAGTCCATTTCACGCCATTAACGTTAAATACGCGTATTGTTCTAATTTGATTTTGAGAAAAATTTCAAACCGGTTTGATTTATAATTTTTGACATCAATCGAAGTCAAGTCGAACATGATTAAAACATACATTTATTTATTTTCTTGATATACATGTTTTGTACACTTACATTCATTTAGGTGATACATATATTCCAAGAGTTATGTTCATACAAGAATGATACATATTTAAGAAAATAAGAAAATGATCAAATTACGTACAATATCACATGTGATTTTATATGAACGGCCAAAAATGTGTGCGGGCAACCCTATGGCAGTGTGGCAAGGTCGTGTGAATCACGTGTGATTTTTTATGTGATGTTAGTATAAAATCACACATGATTCGACTATTCTCTTATTTTCTTAAATATGTATTATTCTCATATGAATCTGACTCTATAGTCCAAAACCAGTTTCTTATACCTCTTTCAATACTATCAAAATTACAAAAATCAATTTTAACATCTACAAAATACTAAAGTGTTATATTTCAAACACTGAACAACTATTTGTTCAAATAGTGACATTGCAGTAATACTTAAAAACATCTTCAACATATTCTCTAAAATGAAAATTGTAGAGATTTGTGTTTTAATTGATTCTGCAAAACCTTTTTTAAAAAGAAGAAAGTAGGAAAGAGAAAATAATTAAAGCTCTCCGAAAATAATTACTTAATAAAAAAGATTACTTTTTATTATTTCTATCAATGAGAAGCTGTGAAACTAAATGCTCACGAGAGACAAGTAATATTTTATGAGTTATATTTATTATTTTAATAATAATTAATATTGTAATTTTTAAAAGGGAAAAATTGTCGGAGATAAACATATTTTTTAAGAGATTATGACATTCAATTCTTAATTTTTGAGAATTTTTGAAGATGTTCTAATGGATTATTGAGAGTCCCATAAATAGATGTGAGACGAACATCTAGGGGTGCTAAAAAACCCGATCAACCAAACTCAACCCAACGTGAAATAATTCAACATGAAGTAACCCGTTGTCTAATCAAGTTGTAAATTTTTTAAACCGTAGGTATTGAGTTGATATTGGGTTACTATTGAACCAAACCCAACCCGATGAACCTAATATCCTTTTATTTATTGGATTTAATATGATTGTTGAATTTCTATTAATATATATATATATGACAATTACACTATCACGTATGCTCTTCATATACACATCTTTTCAGTCTATTCACATATTTATATAACTCATTCATATATATGTTCACTAACTGTAAACATATATACGTAAATTAAGAAAATTAACTGAATGTGATATATGTAAGAAGTATAGATAAACTGTATCAAATGGTTTATGATGAAAAAGAAATTATGAGTAGAGAAATAACATATTCAATGTTAGAAGAATATTTTAATGTACCAAAGTATCAACCCGACCAACCCGTACGGTTTGTGTTGAGCTGGGTTGGGTTGCACTTTTGTTTGAGTTGGGTTGAGTTAAGATTTTTCAAACCGCAAGCATTGGATTGAGTTGTTCAAATGTCTTCAACCCGATCAACCCAACCCATGAACACCCTTACGAACATCTACCATCTCCAACAGATTTTTCAAAATTCCTCCAAGATGAAAAATCAAATTTCAAAATCTCCCAAAAAGATTATACATTAATCTCCAACAGTTTCTCTATTTGAAGATTACAACATTAATTATATTAATATATTTCACACATTTAATAAATATTATTCATTTCTCATAAACATAAAATTTCAAAGTTTTTTATTGACGAAATATAATAAAAAAAATCCGCCTCTCTCTGTATTTCATGATAATCATTATCAATCAGAGAGTTCTTCAAATTTTTAAAATTTTAAACTCTGCTTTTTCCTTCTTAAAGAAAATCCTCAAGAATCCGTTAAAACAGAAATGCCAAAAATGGTATTTTCAAAGATTTATTTCCGTACAATTTTAACCATTTTACATTTTGTGGTGGCATATTCTAAAATCTGAGTGTTATTGGAGACTGAAATATGCAAAAGATTTCTGAAATTAATTGGTGGAAATTGACTAGTCATAGATTTGGGTGCATTCCATATGATCTTTTTGGTTCTTCATGTGAAAAAAAAATCCTATTTGTAACATGTAAACAATGATTGGTTCAACCCTCTTTTTATTTATTTTTACCAAAGTTTCCTTGTGTTATTTTATTTTATTATTTCCATAAATCTTTTTTATCACATATTTTGACATAATTAATTTAATCATAAAGTTTTCATTTAATAAATATTCTTAATGCTTATACAAGGTTTATAAACAAGCTGATGTGAAATTATATTTTAAATGAATAATGTATAATTGATGAGAATTTTGGTGAAAATATGAATATATTAACGTATTGTTGGTAGTAAATTAGAAAAAAAAGGTATAATTATATTTTTTTATACTGTATGAATAGTTTATTTCGGGTGACTTGGCGATTTTATCTTCATTGATATTCATAAAAATAAGGGATAGGATACCACATTGACGGGATGCATATGTGGCATTATGCATGTGCATTAATTGATGAACTGACATGAATATTAATTCTCTACACAAGCGTGCGGTCGATTTACAGGCTTCTTAAATTCAATACACCAACATTTTACCTATAACATGACATGGGAAAATTCATATGCTATCGACATGTAAATTAAATCATATATACCGATAAGATCCCAAGATCTTGACCATAGTAATTTACTTGTCAAAATTCAAAGAACACAAAAAAATCAAATATAAACCTAATAAATATTACAAACTTATAAAAAAGGTTTATGTTTTCCTTAGTATTCATACAATGTTGTTTCATATATGAGATGTTCATAACTGTTTTACATTTAGAAAAAAAAAACACGAAAATATGTCTATATATGAAACACATAACAAATTATATGAAGCAATATAAATCATAACTTAAAACCTAACTTATTAAATGGTTTTGGTTGATTTTCACAGGTTTGTAACATTTATTAGGTTTGTATTTGATTATTGGTAAACCATGCAAATATTACAAACATTGCAAACCTATGTTGACCCTAGATTTTGTGTGTACTGAAATTTCTAGGCAGTCATGAAATCAATTTATGATGAGGTTGAGAGTAAACTATGGGACCATTATAATCCAGATCATTGATAATTTGAACAACAGACAATATTGGTTTGTAAGGTTTGTAACGTTTTAGTGGTCCGTATTTGATATCATATATACAGGGCAAATCATATATAAACAGTGTAAAAGTTTAGAAATTGTGAAAAAGTTTAGTGTGTACGTGTTTCATAAATGATACGGAATATGTGAATATACATTGTTCAAATAGGTTGTTTCATCAAAAAAATGTTTTGCTCATGAAAGGAAATGTTTATACACGAACCACGCACTCATACTTGCACACAAGAACAAAACAATGGAACAATATAAATTATAGATTAAAATCAAACTCATTGGATGCTTTTGATTTATTTTCATGGGTTTGGTTTTCACATTTGTTGTCATCTATGAAACAACACATGAAATTGACTTCCCAGTTTCTAAGTTTTTGATGGCTTTGTATGATTTCCAATATGTGTGTGTATGAGAGAGAGAGATAAATGAAGAACCAAAAATAAGGAGAACCGAATTGCCCAAGAAAAACTGATGAAAAAGTGTGTGTGTGTGTGTGTGTGTGTGTGTATTCATGTCAAGTTGAAGATAATAAAATGGTCGTTTTGTTGATGTAAATTGTTTAACTTTAAAACTAGTTCGGTTGCATTTCCCTGCTCCTCATTTAAAAAAAAATAGATGTGATATTTTTGTACAAAAACAGTACAATTATAAACACATTTTCAATCATATCCATTGGATCATATATATATATATATATATATATATATATATATATGAGTGTGTGTGTGTGTGTGCATGACTGTAATAATATGAGTAGCACACAAAAAGGTGTATATATGATCGGGTTCAGGGAAAAACCATAAAAAAAAAAAAAAAACTAAGGAACAACTTGATAACAATTCATGTAGAAGATATACACATGTGCATATAAA